TACCAAAAATTAATTTTTTGTTTCGGATGATCCCAATTAAATTTTCGGCTCAAGAATGAAAACAAATACAGAGGTTGCTGGAGGTGTATTGTAATGTAGGTAAGTGAGCAAAAAATAAGTAAAGCATCAAGGTATGAACCATTTAAAAAGGGTGGGCTGGGTCTTCCAAATGTTAGAAATCATTGGGTAGCTAATCAATTAAAGGTCCCAGATATTATAGCATTAACTAGAGATTTAATATGGAGGGATATAGAGTTTGAAGAATTAAGGGAAATAGGTAATCCTATAGAAATATATTGGTTTAAAAAGGATTTTTAAAAATTGCTAAGAGGATTCAAAATCCCTTTTGAATTTGGGATTGTGATAGTGAACAAAAAATATGGGATATGGTGTTTAGGGAAATTAGAGGACCTTTGAATGTAAATTTAGATATGTCACCGAGGACTGCTTTACTGGTGCTGGTGGAAAAAGAGTATAAATGAAACAAAAAAGGAGTTGATTGTAAATTTGATAATGGCAGCTAGATTAGTGCTGGCTAAATATTGGGGACGAAATTGGGATATTCAAAGAAATGAGTGGGAAGACTTCTGGTTTGGCGTTGCGGTGAGACAGTTGGGGAAATAGCGGGCTCTGATGAGCGCCACGAAAACTCCGATTGCCGAACCGCTGCCGATGGGTCTTCGGACTGGAACCGTCCTGCAGAGATGGGGAAGAAAGGTGCCTCGGATGACCAAGAGAAACAGGCAAGTTCCTCGGAGGTCAGAGGGAACTCTCTCGGCGGCGGGGGGCGGCAGCCATGGCAGCAGCCACAAAGTTGGGACAACCGGGCTAAGTATAGAGCTGGAGAGAAGAAAGAAACGGAACGGAGTCTTTTTGAAGCCAGGTGAGTGACAGCCAATTCAGGCTTGAATAACAAGAGAAACATCTTACAACTATAATGTGTAATAACGCTAAGGAGCATTGGGGCAAAGAGGATTTTGAAATGTAATTTGGAAGAGACAAAAACCCAATTGAAAATTGATTTCTGAACAAACTAATTGGAAACTTTAAATAATTAGACATGGTTAAAAGATTGGAAAGAAATGAAGAGATCCTTTCCCCCCACCCCTTTTTTAAACGGCAAGAAAAATAAAAAGAATGGACAATAAGCTTTAAGAAGAAAAAAAAGGAATGTATAAATAAAAGGGGAAAAAAGAAAAAAAAGAAGTGAGAAGAGCTATTTAAATTTGGACTGGACTTTAAATATAATTTGATATTTTTAAATTGAAAAAGAAAAAAGAGAAGTCAAGTAAGATCGTGATGTAATGGAAACAAAATGGATACTTATTAAGCAATTGGAAATTGTGGATTGCAGAGAGACACCATCTGGAGTAAAAAGGAACATTGCAACTTGGTTCTTTGTTTTGGAAAATTGATACCAGATAATAAACGTAAGAACTTGTGTAGGAGGATTTTCTTGTCTACAAGAGGCTTGACTTTTGGAGGAATAAAAAAAGAAATAGAAGGGAATACAATGGAACTTTTATAATTGGAGCAACTATTTGATTTGGAGAATGGAAATAGAAGAAATAACTATAATATTGCACAGAGGACAAAATTTGAGGATATAAAAATCGAAATGGAGTATACATGTGTGGACAAGAAAATGAAGTTGGAGAAATAAGACATAGAAGTGGAAAATAAAGAAGATAAAGATATTGTGATTAAATATGAACAAATAATTGAAGATGTGAATACTAATAATATAAAGGAGGTCTCTAGAGATTATATTCAGATTAACAATAACACAATGATGATTATACTGAGATTAATAATGATATAATGATGATTATATGGCGATTAATACTGAATGATAAAAGAATAAAAGGTTGGAAAATATTAAGAAATTTAAAGAAGTCCAGGACCTGGATTTATAAAATGACTATATTGAGATAAACAAATATGAGAAGAATTATGTTATATATATTTAGAAATGAAATAGGGATTGAAGCTAAAATATATGGAAAATAGATTACATTAAAAGAAATATAGCAATGAATATAATGAACCAATTTTTTATTAAGATGTCAAAAGATACTATTTGAGGAAATTGATGGTTATAATAACTGGGATATTGTTTAAATACCTATAACAATTGTTATAATTTGAATATTTTTAATAATATAACTACAAAAGTAAAAGATGATTATGTTGGGAGTAACAGTGAGAAAAATAAAGATGATTACACTGGGATTAACAGTGAATAAAGATGATTACACAGATTAACAGTGAGAAAAATAAAGATAATTATGCTGGGATTAACAGTGGAATAAAGATGTATTTTGTACATTGGGATTAACAGTGGAAGGATAAAAGAAAAGGTTAAATTAGAAAACTGATAGCTATAATAATTGGGATATTATATGTATAACAATTGTGATAATTTGAACATTTATTACCTAAGTGAAAAAGAAAAGAAAATTGAAATAATATATGATTATGATTTATAAACAAAAATTACTTAATTGGTGTTATATAAATGGTATGGTTTGCTAGATAGAATTTAGGATGATTGGGAAATTGTGTTAAAAAGCATTATTTGAACTAAGAACTATGTTTAAATGTTAAATTGCTATATTTCTAAAATTAAAAAGATAAGATTTAAATTTGATAAAGTAATAATGGAATAAAGATTTAATGAGCATAATGATATATAAATATGTTTGAATTGTATTGTTAATAATGAGGATTTAGGGTAAGAATTGTTGTATTATGAGGTATTAATTGAATTAAGAATTAAGGTGGGTTAATAGAAGGGTAATTGTTTTGATTAAGTAAATATGTGTTAATTTTTTTTAAGATGGTATTAGTTGAATATGTGATATAAGATTTAGAAATAAGTGCTATGGCAAAATAGTATAGATAAAATTTTGTTAAAGATTTTGTTAAAAATTGAACAAAGTGTTTACCAGATCAAAGCTCTGTTCCAAAAGGATGTAATTTGTATTTTTGGAAAAAAATAAAAAAAACTTTTTGCAAAAAAAAAAAGAAAAGAAAGAAATGAGTGGGATAATGAAATCTGGAGTATGGCAACAAATGATAAATTAACAACAGAAATGAAATTTTAAAAAGGGATGATTAAAGTAAATAATTATATTGAAATATTGGGGGATTTTATAAAAACAGTAAAGGGATTAAGCCTAGTCAAGAGGGGATAAGGGCACGATTGGAATACATTGTGTATCTTTTAGCTGATATAGAAAGAGAAATATAAGGGGGGAAAAAGGGTCTCCAGGGGAGGTGCACTGTAATTGTATTTCCCGCCCTTTTTTAGATTTACATGTATGATGTTTGTATTATTTGTATTTAAAATAAAAATTATAAAAAAACCAACAATATTTCAAAGTTACCACGACTTGGAAAAAGTTATTTACAACCGTGCACTTATGACCATTGCACCACTTCCACGATCATATGATTACAATTTGGGCACTTGGCAACTGACTCATGTTTACAGCAAGTTGTAACATCTTGTGGTCATGTGATTGCAACAAGAGCCTTGGTAGTACAGTGGTTTAAAGCACCCTGTTATTAACACAGCTGCCTGCAATTACTGCAGGTTCGAATCTTACCAGGCTCAAGGTTGACTCAGCCTTCCATCCTTTCTAAGGTAGGTTAAATGAGGACCCAGTTTGTGGGGGCAATAAGCTGACTTTGTATAAAAATGTACAAAAGTATAAAGGCTATTGCTTAACGCATTGTAAGCCGCCCTGAGTCTCCGGAGAAGGGCGGCATATAAATCAAATAAAAAAAAAAATTGTGACCTTTGGGCAAACCGGATTTGCTTAACAACTGTGGTGATTTAATGACTGCATGATTTACTTAACAACCATTAACAACAAGAATAGCTTGACTCCCTCTTCTTTGTGGCACCCAATATCTCAGGGGCTGCCACAAAGGAGAGGAAGTCAAGCTATTATCCAAGCACCTTTAAAAAAAAATTTAAATCGAAATTTTAATCTGTTTTAAATTATTGGGATTTTTAATTATCTTGGGCTAAATTATTTAATCTGGTTTTAATTATGTTTTTAACTTTTGTATCTATGTATTTTATTTTGTGCCTGTTCACCGCCCTGAGTCTTTCGGGAGTAGGGCGGTATATAAATCTAATAAAACAAACAAACAAACAAACAAACAAACAAACAAACAAACAAACAAACAAACCTGAAGGTAGGACAAGAAGCAATGGGTGGAAACTAATCAAGGAGAGAAGCAACTTAGAACTAAGGAGAAATTTCCTGGCAGCTAGAATAATTAATCAGTGGAACAACTTGCCTCCAGAAGTTGTGAATGCTCCAACACTGGAAGTTTTTAAGAAGATGTTGGATAACCATTTGTCTGAAGTGGTGTAGCGTTTCTGCCTAAGCAGGGGGTTGGACTAGAAGACCTCCAAGGTCCCTTCCAATTCTGTTATTCTATTCTATTCATTGTAAAAATTGTCATAAAATCAAATCCAATTTGACTTATGACCATAATGGAAAGTCTAGTCCCCATTGTGTTCATAAATTGAGGACTATCTGTATTAACCACTGTTTTAACCACTTATTTGTGTCCAAAATATTGAAGAGTACTGGATTTTAAGACTTATAAATTTGCTTGCTTCTAGTTGTTTGCAGATCTGTTGCTTGATTATCTTTCCTAGGATCTTGCCAGATATTGATGTCAATTTGATTGGTCTGTAGTTTTCTGGATCCATTTCCCCCTCTTTTTTGAAGATGGGAACCATATCAGCTCTTTTCCAGTCCTCTGGTAGTTCCCAGGTGCTCCAGGGTATTTGAAAGATATGTTTCAATGGTTCCAAGATCATGTCTGCCAGCTCATTTAGAACTCATCTGGTAATTTGAACACATTTATGGTGGATAGGTGTTCTCTTACCATTTTCTTGCCTATTTTAATTTCTATTCCTGGTCTGTCTTTTATGATTTTCCATGGCGATGCTGCGCAATTCCTCATTGGGATCTCCCTCACATCTTGCTAGGGACTGAGAGTGTGCTGTGCCTTTAAATCTTCTGCTGGCCACTCCTCCCTGGCTCCTCAGCACGGCAGTTTATTTCTCTCAGTCTTAGTGTAGGGACGTGAGTATAGTTTCTCTCACCTCAGTGAGACTTTTTTTGCCTTTTACTAGTATTTTCCTTTCTGTGCTGTAAATAGTGTATAGTCTAATAGTGTATATAGTTGATAATTTACTGTTTAGTTATTAGCGTGGGAGCGTTTTTTCTCCAGAGAGGCTGCTGCGGTGGCAGCAGGCCCCTGGCTGCTGCCGTGGGCGCCGTTTCTAATTAACTTGGACGCCCCGGCTTCTTTCAGCAGCGATCTGAGCCTCCCTCGTTTGGAGCTCTGGACAGCCCTCGCGCTGTTTTTCCTTGCCGCCGGCGCGCGTTTGGGGCCGCTGGTCAGCTGGTCGTCCCGGCGCCGCCATTTTCGCTCCCAAATTAGTTGGCGGTTGCAGAGTACCTGCTCGGGGGCCCTGAGTACAGACTCTGCCTTATCATTTGCCTCGCGACGCTCAGGGGGCGGAAGCCTCTCGCGCCTTACATCTGGAAGATTTTGGCTGACTGTTGGAAGGTGATCGGATCCCTTACAGCTGCTGATCTTTAGAGTTAATTTTGTTTCTGTGAATATCTGCGGTGACTCATTGGCGAGGCTGCGCTTTCAGGGGCGTTTGTTTCCTGGCGCTTATTGAATTTCCTCAACTGAAGGCTGCGTTGGAGTGAGTATGTGTCCTGTCAGGGGAGCTTTCTGCCATTAATTTGGTGCCTTTTCTGTTGCGGCAGCCATTTTGAGGGAGAATTTTAGTGCCTGTTCTGAGGCCGTAATTTTTCCCTTTCTCCTCAGGATTGTCCTTGGAGACTCCTGGTAGTCTTTAACCGTCATGGCCGACCAGGAATTTTCATCTGACCCTGAACAGGCTCCCGTTCCTCCCAGGCCTAAGAAGGCCTCAAAAAAGAGGCCTGCTGCACAAGCTTCAGCCTCTTCAGCCAGTCAGCCCTTATCTATTACAGCCAGGGAGGAACAGAGGAGACACAACGCTCTAGAGAAACAATTTTCCAGGGCCCAAAAACAGGCATAACTCATAGGGGAGGTGGTTCTGGAGCCTCCCCCTCCTCAACCGGATCCATTGGGCTCAGAGACGACCCAGCTGGCATCACAAGATATGCCTTCTGATTTACCTCAGGCACCCATGTTGTCTGATAGGCCGGGACCTTCAGCGTCATTTACACCCATGGCGGCTGGTCTCAGGCCTCAGGAGGCTTTAGGTTGGCCACCACATTTAGACTTTCAAGCCTTATTCACAGATGCACTGGCTAAGGCAATCACCTCAGGCCTTCAACAAGGGGGACAGCCCCAGTTTGGGTATCATACCTGTCAGATGCCAGCTCCTTCCAGGCCGGCTTGTGGGCATCATCCTACTACGCATCCTCCCCCTCCCCCCCCCTCCCCCTCCTCCCCTGCCGGCCCAGGCGATCCAACCTTCCTTGGGGGCTCCAAGTGAGGTATCATACTCAACTGAGGGAGAACAGGTTGAGCCAGAGTTCTCAGATGATGAGGAAGTGACCCCTGAGAGACCGGCCTTTGCCACCTTGTTCAGGCCAGCTGTCTTTAAGACTTTACTCAGAAAGGCTAAAGCAGCTACAAACATGGGTACCATCGTCAACCCTAACCTTCAGGGTTCTTCTGATACACAACCGCATGGCGAGCTTTTCGCTGTTCCTGCTCCTGATCATGACTATATCCCGTGCCCTGATTTATTTAAAGAGGTCATTAAAAGACAGTGGGAATCGCCCGGGGTTCTGTCGGCTCCCAGCGGGCACGATAAAAAGCTGTATTGTGCTGACCCAGCTCTGGAGGCCCTTCTCAACCTTCCATCAGTAGATCCTCCTGTTGTGAGTCTATCCTCTTCGGCTGTCTTATCATCTGACGCTGTGGAGGTGTTGAAAGCTGATGAACGTAAGACGGAGGTTTCCTTCCGTAAAATGCACCAAGCCGCAGCCTGGGCGGTGAAAGCTGCAACATCTGCCTCCTTCTTTAACAGAGCCACCTTAATATGGCTTCGGCAGTTGCAGGAGAGGTTGCCACCGGGGGACACCAGAATTGCCCAGGATTTCAACAAATTGGTGGCCGCTACAGAATATTCAGCGGATGCATCCTTGGATGCGGCCCGGTTTGCAGCCAGGGCCATGGCTTCTTCCATCTCCTCACGTAGACTTCTGTGGCTTAAACCCTGGAAGGCTGACTCCAAATCAAAGTGGAGATTAGCATCTGCCCCTTACCACGGGTCCTCTTTATTTGGGGAAGCATTGGATCCAATTTTAATAGAAGGGAAAGATAAACGTAAGGTCTTGCCTGTTTCTTACAGTAGGCAAGAGCGCAGGTTCACACCTTATAGTCAAAGGCAGCCCTTTCGGGCAGAGTCAGGGCCCAGGGGGTCCTATTATGGTCGACAGTATTCACAAGGATATTCACAAGGATCCGACCGCTTTGCAGGAAGGCAGGGCAATAGTGACAGAGGGAGGTTCCAATCCTCTTCCAGACGACCCTTTAAGGGAGCCGGAGCCGGACCCCGTTCTTCCAGAAGGGGAAAATGACTCCTTCGAACCTTTCCCAATTGGGGGGCGGCTTCTTCACTTTCTACCCCAATGGGAGATCTCCACTTCCGACCCTTGGGTTCATCGTACTGTGGGGGTAGGATTGACTCTGGAATTTTGGACCCTTCCCAAACGTGTTTTTGTTCGTTCCCCAGTGCCCCGACGTCGAGACAAACTGAACAATCTCAACTCAGAAATCCAGCACCTTCTTCGGATTGGAGCAATAGAGGAAGTTCCTCTATCGCAACGGGGGAAGGGAGTTTATTCTCTCCTGTTTTTGGTTCCCAAGGCCTCGGGGGGGGGGGTGGAGGGCCATCTTGAATCTCAAGTACCTCAACAAGTTCATCAGGTACAAGAGATTCAAGATGCAGTCCCTCCGAACCATTCTGGGTTGCATTCGGAAGGGAGATGTTATGACTTCCATCGATTTGCAGGAAGCTTACTTGCATGTACCAATCCACCCTCACCATCGCAAGTACCTCCGCTTTGTGTACAACAGCCAACATTATCAGTACCGGGCGATGCCCTTCGGGCTTTCGTCTGCTCCGAGGGTGTTCACCAAACTGTTAGCAGCAGTTGCTGCCACCATTCGGTTAATTCCAATCCGCATATTGTGCTATCTCGACAATATTTTAATTTTGTCCAATTCCCCCCTTCAAGCTCAGCAGGACATGCAGCGGGTCTGTCGGGCCCTGGAACTCCATGGCTTCTCTATAAACCACAAAAAGAGCCACCTCTCCCCGACCAGGTCCATCATTCATCTGGGAACCCGCATCGACTCAGAGGCGCTTCAGGTGTTCCTCACGGAAGAGCGACGGAGGAACATCACAGACTTGGTCCGGCATACCCTGTCTTTGAGGCGGGTGTCTCTGATAACTTTATCTCAGTTGCTCGGCAAGTTTATTTCCTGTTTAGATATAGTTCCGTGGGCACACCGTCACTCGAGGCCACTCCAGTGGTTCCTCCTGCCCTTCCAGCGCCGGGGCCTGGGTTCTTCCAAGATCGCGGTGTTGCTTCCGAGCCCAGTACAGGGGTCTCTCCAGTGGTGGATGTCGGACGCTCTCTCCAGAGGTTGCCACTTCCACGTGGTCTCCAGGTTAGTGATTACCACGGACGCCAGTCTGTCCAGCTGGGGTGGTCATCTGGGCTCTCTGGTGGTCCAGGGACTCTGGTCGATGGCAGACTCTCAGGACAATATCAACGTTCTGGAATTGAGAGCCGTGCATCTGACACTGCTGCATTTTCAACAGTCCCTCCTCCACCGGCATGTCCTTGTCCTCATGGACAGTATGTCAGCAAAAGCCCACATCAATCGGGAGGGGGGTACCCAATCCCCTGCTCTCATGAGGGAGGCGGAAGCATTGTTGGACTGGGCGGAGATTCATGTGTTGTCTCTGAGGGCGGAGCACATTTCCGGGAAGGTGAACATCACTGCGGACTGGCTGAGCAGACAACATCTGGACCAGTCGGAGTGGAGGTTGCATCCCGACCTGTTTCGGGAGCTGACACGTCGGTTCGGCCTTTCCCTGGTGGACCTCTTTGCCAGTCCGGACAACGCACAGCTACCGAGGTTTGTCACACGGTTCCCTTGCCCGGGGGCCGAAACTTGCGACGCCCTGAGGAGTCCCTGGCCTCAGGGCCTCCTTTATGCCTTTCCCCCCATCCCACTGATTCCAAGGGTGATCCGAAAACTGTTGTCAGAGAAAGCGGATCTGTTGCTGGTCGCTCCCCACTGGCCTCGGCGTCCCTGGTTCGCCGACTTGGTGAGCCTCTCCGTAGATCGACCGTGGCGCATTCCCCAGGACCAGGTCTCGCTCAGTCGGGGCGGTTCTACATCCAAGCCCCCAGTGGCTGCAATTAGCCGTATGGCGCTTGAGCGGGTCCGCCTGAGGAAAGATAACATCTCAAATGACACCATCCTTACCATCCAAGCAGCCAGACGCCCGTCCACCGTCCAAATTTATGACGCCTCCTGGAGGGCCTTTTGCCTTTGGTGTGCCTCCCAGCATACGGACCCTACGTCCGCAACTGTACCTGACGTTATAGACATCCTCCAAGCGGGCCTCGCCAAAGGTCTTGCCCCCTCTACCCTCAAAAGACAGGTGGCTGCTTTAGCAACTGTCCTTGTGCCAGGGGATTCCGGCTCGCTGACTCTGGATCCCCGTATTCGTAGCTTTTTAAGGGGTGCTACGAATCTCCGGCCTCCTCCCATTCGTAGATACCCTACTTGGGACTTACCTCTTGTTTTGAACTCTCTTACGATTGATCCTTTCGAGCCGTTAGCCTCTGTTAGCCTTAAGTTTTTGTCTCTGAAGCTGGCCTTTTTACTTGCCATCACGTCAGCTCGGAGAGTCTCTGAACTAGCCGCCCTGTCAATTCGCAGTGACCTTTGTATTTTTAAACCCAATTTGGTTGTCCTTAGACTAGACCCCTCGTTTGTTCCCAAAATCAATTCGGTTTTCCATAGACAACAGGAGGTTATCCTCCCTGACTTTTGTCCTGAAACCCGGCACCCTTTAGAGACCCAATGGCATACCCTCGACGTACGCCGGGCACTACGCCGTTATATTGCCAGGACTGCCGCTTTTCGTAAGTCAGAATCACTCTTCGTGTCCTTCCACCCGGCAACCATGGGCCAACGGGTGTCATCTCAAACCATAGCCAGATGGATCAGGGCCTGTATCTCCGCGGCCTATGTCGCTAGGGGCAAGCAGGTGCCAGGGCGAATTTGGGCACATTCAACACGCAGTGCAGCCACGTCGGCGGCGTGGTCAACTCAAGCGTCTATCCTGGACATTTGCCGAACTGCCACGTGGACATCGCTCTCACCTTTTGTTCGCCATTATAAGATCGATACCTTCGCCTCTGCAGACGCTTCATTTGGCCGGAGGGTATTGCAATCTGTCCACTCCCCTGGGATCCTGGGACCCAGCCAGCCTCCCCCCAATAAACGGGTACTTGGGCATATCCCAATGAGGAATTGCGCAGCATCACCATGGAAAATGAACGTTGTCTCACCTGAACGTTCTTTTTCAGGGCGATGCTAAGCAATTCATCCCTCCTCTCAGGCTGTCTGGGACGGGAGCGGGTTCTTTCCTGTTTTTCCTCCTCAGATCACGACTACTATGGGGTACCTTCGAGAAATAAACTGCCGTGCTGAGGAGCCAGGGAGGAGTGGCCAGCAGAAGATTTAAAGGCACAGCACACTCTCAGTCCCTAGCAAGATGTGAGGGAGATCCCAATGAGGAATTGCTTAGCATTGCCCCGAAAAGGAACGTTCAGGTGAGACAACGTTCATTCTGTTTTTGATAGGTTAGGTTGTGCTATTTTTTTCTTGCTAGAAGAGCATTGCCAAAAATAAATTAAGTAGCTTTGCTTTCTCCTTGCTGTTCATCACCTCCTTGCCATCTTCTCTCATTAGTGAACTGATTGTTTTCTTGACTTTTTTTCTTGTTTTTTAATGTTGATTGTATGTATTTGTTTATTGAATAGCCCGAAGGCCTTTTCAAACAAAACAGAAAAGAAAAAGGGAAAAAGACAAAACAGTTACAGAAATAACAATCTAAAAATATATGATGTATGACATTAAAATTTTACAATATCAGATTTCAATAGGTAAGTTGCCAAGACTAGATAACCCAAATAAGATAGCTCCTCTCTAACTCAGCTCATCTTTCTTACAATCAATGAAATTCTTTTCGATATAACTGGCTCGTATTGCTGTCATCCTTTTAAGATAGCGAGTGATAGCCCTTACCAGGGGAGGAGAGTCTGCCTTCAACAGAAATGATAATTTATGCCTTATATTCCAGTGGGGAAATTTATTTATAATTGGGGACAGATATTGTTTTCTTACTTCCTCATATAGCCTACATTCAAATATTATATGCGCCGTGTCCTCCACGACATTTACCCCATATATACATGTTCTTTTGTCATACGGGATTTTCCGGTAATGGCTGAATTTAACGTTGGTATCTAAAAGTTCGAATCTAAACTTAACAAATAACTGTCTCTCCACTGATGGCATTTCTAGATGTAAATACTTTTCCAGGGTGAAAGTTGTTTTAACTGCTGTCAGCAGTTTAAGGGAGTGATTAGTTGAAAGAGTTGCCATGTCCATTTGCCCATGTATATCTTTAATCCGTTGTTTAACTTGCTTCAGTGTGTCACACAACGGGAACCCTACGCCATATCGATTCAATATTTCTGACAGCCGGGTTAGCCAGGAATACCTTTGAGGATTTGAAATCTGCTGTTCCTCTAGGCAGATTTTGGGGAGTCTGCTGGCTTCCATCTGAGTCATTTTTAGCCAGTAGGCTACCGCCCTAGTGATTGTATAGGTGTACAGTGAGAAATGTCCCAATTCAGCTCTGACGGCTGCAGCTGAAGTGGAATTGTTTACCCTGAGCATCCTCCTTAACAAATTATTTTGAGTTCTCTCCAATATGGGGGCCTCTGTAAGACCCCAAATTTCGGCACCATAGAGCATGATTGGAACAAGTTTAGCCTGAAAGACTTTACGAAGAGGTAAAATGGAGGTTGGTTGGATACGTTTACTTAATTTGGATACAAGGCTTGCTCCTGCTCTGACCTTTTGAGAAAGGTATTGATGGTGCGGAGTCCAACCTCCTGCACTGGAAAAAACAATTCCAAGATAAGTATATTGGGTAACTTGCTCAATCTTTGTGTCATTATGTAGGCTGGTGGCCCCCAGGGGGAGGGCCTTCTCTGTGGGGGCTCCCACCCTCTGGAATCAGTTGCCCCCGGAGATAAGAAGAATCCAGGACCTCAATGCCTTCCGGCGTTCCCTGAAAACCCATCTTTTTCAACAAGCCGGGTTGGCCTAAGAAGAAATTTTTAAAATTTTTAAATTCTTTTAATTAGTCTGTGATTCTTAACTTTCGGGCCAAAATTTATATATATTTTTAAATGTTTTAATATTTGTATTCTATGTTTTTTATCTTGGCTGTACACCGCCCTGAGTCCTCAGGGAGAAGGGCGGTATATAAATTGGAAATTAAATTAAATTAAATTAAATTAATCTGCCAATTATGCTTTTTATTCTTATTGCCAAAGACTAAAACTTTTGATTTAGCTACATTTATAGTCAAGTGGTTTGTAGTACAATAACGTGTGAGCTTGGCAAGAAGTCTCCTCATTCCTATTTGGGTTCTAGAAAACAGCACTAAGTCATCGGCGTACATTAATACATTAATAAATCTAGAGCCTATTTGGGGGCTATGCGTCATAAGATCTTCCAGCTGCACTGGGATATCATTTATATAAAGGTTA